CCAATACAGCCACCCTCAAATGTTACAAAAATCAGGAAGTCTTACTTTATCTTCCTCTGAGCCCACTCTGTTGCTACAAGCTTCATGGCTAACTTCCAAACCTGCTGAGATAACCCTGATGAAGAAACAATGTCAGTCCACAGGAAGGGCCTTTGTTGAGCAGTGAATTCCCCCTATTTTGATAACGGCTGTCAACTCTGGCTGCTATCCTAAAACATTCTCAACGAGACAACTGGTTGAAAATGCTGGTGAAGAACCATTCTTGAGCTTCACATCTGCGAACAAGAAAACATCTACCTCAGCTTGTGGGTGGCAAATGGAAAACAGTTATCCTGAATGCTTGTTAAAAATAGAACATAAAGCTGGGTATCCTATATTTCAACCATGAGACCTTTGCCAACATAGATAGGAAAAAGCGAGCATAACCAGTGAATAATGAAAGGCAAAATGGAATATTCAAATAAAGCATTATATAGGTGATAATATTTTGGCAAGGGGGGGGAGGAGGACGAGAAAGAAAAACTGAACAAAATATTAGAAAAAGAAAAGTAAAATAGACGGAGTGAGGAGATATTAGTTAGAACTGCTAGGATATATTCTGGCGTTGCTTTCTATAGAAAATCATGGGCATGAGCATTGATAGAGCTTGCTGTGCAGTCTATCACACACATTACACAACAGGAAGAATAAAAAATGTTCAGGAATACTAACTTGACATTAATGCACACTTAAACTGTTTGCCCCTACATCTGAGGGAGTTCATTAAGGTCTGCAGCAGACGTATATTTAATCCTCTGTTGATTGCTACTCAAGAAGTGGAAAGAGACCCAGTCATCTTTTAAAAAGGATTTAATTCTTCATTAGATTAGATTCTAAACTTTTAGGGGCAGAAACTGTCGTTTCATTGTGTGTTGTACATTGCTGTCCTGGTCCATGAATGGCCGCTACAGTAATAATACAAATTTATTTTTAACATCTTTCTACCCACACTGATAACCTGAATTTAAGAGGGATTTAATCTCTGTACCAAAATTTTCCTTGAGCCTCATGCTGACACTTTACCAGTATTGAAGATAGAATACTTCTCAGTCTAGACAAGTAGACTTGCACATGTATTCGGGTTTCCATACTCAGTTACTTTATTTACGCCAAGAGTTGCACATTCTGCAAGTGCTGTTCTGGGTGTTGTCTGATTATCCTTGCTAGGAATATGACATGCCAAGTCACACTGTAGACAAATCAAAAACAGTAGCCATCCACCCTTGTAGTTTCAAAATCCACTGCTAAAAGAGCATTTCAGCTTATCCAGTTTTCATGTCACCAAGCTTCTGGAGCTTTCTGATCTCCTTTAAACAGCACTCCGGTGTCTAGATTTTGACTTCTCATTGCCTACATTTTGATCTCTAGGTTTTTATTTCTTAACAGCTTTTGGTTAGGCTAATGGTGTGCCGAGATCACTAGCTATCATGCTGACCAATATTGTTTCCTTGTATTCCCCCATCAGTTTTTCTGTATGTTATCCGTTGTCTTCTGTCTTGTACACTCCCTGCGGCAGACACTCTTTCTGTTCTGGGTTTGTACAGCACCTAGCACAATGGGGTCCTAGTCAATGACCACTATGGTAACACAAATTACTACTAATAATAATCTATTTTCACATCTTTCTCAAGGTACACATTTTGGGGGGTGGGTGGGAGGAGGAAGACCAGCGACTTGATTCTTGCCCTCGTTGAAACCAGTGAGTCCACTCCTATTAACTTCAACAGGAGCAAGATCAGGCCCTCTTCTAGCTACAAAATCTTAGGGCTGGTCTACTCTAGGATTTTACATTGATATAGCTACATCTTTCAGGGTGTGAAAAATCTACATACTTGAGAGATGTAGCTATACTGACCAAACCCTGACAGCGCTAGGTTGATGGAAAAATTCTTCCGTTGACCTAGCTACCGCCTCTTAGAGAGGTGGATTACCTATGCTGATGGGACAACCCTTCCCATCGACTTACGTAGTGTTTACACTGAAGCATCCCAGCAGTGTACCTCAGTGGTGCAGCCAGGGCCGGCGCTTCCATTTAGGCGACATAGGCGGTCGCCTAGGGCGCCAGGATTTGAGGGGGGCGGCAATTCGGCGGCAGGGGGTCCTTCCGCACTCCGGGTCTTCAGCAGCAATTCTGTGGTGGGTCCTTCACTCGCTCCGGGACCCGCCGCCGAAGTACCCCGAAGACCGGGAACACGGAAGGACCCCCCCGGCCGCAGAATTGACGACGACGACCGGGAGCGCGGAAGGACCCCCCACCTAGGGCGCCAAAAACCCTGGCGCCGCTCCTGGGTGCAGCTATGCTGTTGTAGTATTTTAAGTGTAGGTGAGCCCTTAGCCTATATGCCAGTTTTCAATCTTTTTTTCATTTGCGGACCCCTAAAAAATTTCAAATGGAGGAGCGGACCCCTTTGGAAATCTTAGACATGGTCTGCGGACATCCAGGTTGATAACTATTGCTCTATGTTCAGATAAAGCATATATGTGAAAAGGTGCATATGTGTTTGAGACTGAGAGGGAGTGCCAGTGAGCTTTGGGACCTTCAGCTAACACCTTCCTTCCTGAAACGCTGAAAAAGATACCTAGCAATGTCAGGAAACAGGCCACATTCATCCCGAGTCAGTCCTTTTAAGTCAATATAGTTACACCAAGGTGAATTTGGCCAAGTATCTAAAAGGCCTTGAAGAGAAGCGTCTCCCAGGGAGCAGCTTTCCAATCAAACTTCCATCATTTGTACTCTAACGGTGGGCATTTTTGTTTAACCATCTATTTCCTACCTCACTTAATTATTCTGAAATTTCTGACAGTATGTTACACTGCAGTGCCCTCCCCTCCTAGAGTGCTTTGTGGTTTAGAGGCCACCACAGCAATGAAGCCATGATGAATGCCAGTGGAAAATCCCTAGCATAAGAAAACTGCCAAGTCTACACTTTGTTTAGCTATTTCCCACCAAATCTAAAGTTTCTTTTACAAAACATGTTTATCTCTTTGCAGTTGAGAGGGGGGAGAACCCAGGACAAAGTGCTGCACTCTACCCTTGTTAGCTCAACCTTCCCAAAAACTGTTTCTAGCCACACAAACAGCAAAAGCAGGAAAGGTCTGACTGTTTCCCTACCTCACTGAGGGTTGAACATCAAAGCCCAGCTGGGGGGCCATTTACCTGCTAACATCAAGCCCAGAAATTTAAGTTCCTGTCTAAATGAGGAAAAGCTACTGTGTTGTGGGAACATAGGCCAAAATTTTCAAGTGTGGGTGCCTAAAGTTAGGCTCCTGAATTCATATTTGAATTCACTTTGCCAGAAGCTAGGAATGGGCAACAGGGGATGGATCACTTCATTACCTGTTCTGTTCATTCCCTCTGGGGCACCTGGCATTGGCCACTGTTGGAAGACAGGCTACTGGGCTAGATGGACCTTTGGTCTGACCCAGTATGGCTGTTCTTATGTTCTTATATTTAGGTTCTCAAATATGAGGGCTGTAGTATAATTGGGCAACACAGTTAAAACATGATTCCTTCTATACCACAAGACTGAAGGCTTTGAGATACTGTGGTGATGAGAATGGGACAGACAGAAAGAACAACCTATATGAGTATGTTGTAACATGATCCCAGAACAAAACATGTGTAGTGTAGCATAGTCCTAGAGAGAGACAAGAAGTCACTTTTGAAAGAAGTGTGTTCTGCTTTTCCTCACACTTTTTAAACAATGGGCCCTTTGTTTAGTCTCTCTTAGAAGTGGGACTTTCCTGTCCTTGCATTAACTGGAAAGAGTGCAGGATGTTCCAAGAGCTGTCATTTTTTAGAACTTTTTTTCTCCCAGTTTTCAGTGGAGGCACGTAACTCTTTTCAGCTGTATCTTCAAGCTGCTGTACTATAGATTTTATCTAAGAAGGGAGTCCTGTGAGGTCATAGATTAATGCCTTGTACTTTACTCCTGCGGACTCAGCTGCTGTCTCTACAATGCTTTGTTTCCTAGGACCTAGACCAGGGGTCTCAAACTCAAATGACCACGAGGGCCACATGAGGACTAGTACATTGGCCTGAGGGCCGCATTACTGACACCTCCCCCACACTGCCCTCGGCCCCGCCCCCCCTCCATGAGGCCCCGCCCCCATTTCAACCCCTTCCCCAAAATCCCCACCCCAACTCTGCCCCCTTCCTGTTCCCAGGGGGTGCAGGAGGGGTGTGGGGTGTGGTGGGGGCTCAGAGCAGGGGGTTCAGCTGCAGGAGAGGTTCGGGGGGCGGGCTCCAGCCCGAGGCGCACCGGGGGCAGGGCAGGCTCCCTGCCTGCCTGTCCCCATGCCGCTCTAGGAAGTGGCCGGAACCTGGGGGAGGAGGGGCACAGGGGTCTGTGTGTTGCTGTTGCTTCAGGCACCACCCCCAGCAGCTCCTACTGGGCGGGATTGGGGAACACTGCCTCCCAGACCCATGTGGAGTCACGGTTGATGTAGTTAGGTTGACGTAGTTTCAGTATAGACATTGCGTTGCTTCTGTCGACTGTTGCTGGCTTTCAGGAGCTGTCCCACAATGCCCCACACTGACAATACAATCGATACAAGCGCTCCTGGTGAGGACGCGCAACGCCGACACAAGGAGCCAAACATATGTACTCACAGGCGATTTAATAACTGCGGTGGCTGTAGGCCGATGTAAGTTAGGGCGACATGATTTTGTACGGTAGAGGTAGCACAAGTGTTGCAGCAGGAGCGCCGCCAGCTTTTCTGCCGCCCTAGGCGGCGGAAGGTCCCGCCCCGAAATGCCGCCCCCGACAGAGGTGGTGGAAGGGGGGAGGGGGAGGACCCTTAGGGGTTTGGCAGGGAAGAGGAGGGGGCACCTTTAGGGGTGTAGCAGAGGAAGAGGAGGGGGAGCACCCTTAGGGGCTTAGCAGGGAGACAGAAGAGGGCACCCTTAAGGGTTTAGCAGGGGGGAGAGGGGGACCCTTAGGGG